TACAAAAGACCATAACGTTCTTCCCTGGGACACAAACAGATTCTGTCTGCTATAATTTGGGTTCCCTCCTTGTCAGTTATCTGCCAAAATGAAATGCAATCCTGTCACAAATAGTGTTGGTGCAGTTAATATAAGAACATGTTTCCAGAATCATAGTATTTTAAAAAGAATTTTATTAGATACTGAACACATTTTTAAAAATTTAAATTCATTATGGTCCAGTAAAATGACAGTCAACCATCTCTCATTAATTCATTTCAAAGCTAGTTCTTAAAAGATTGTCCTAAACTGGGCAAGATAGTGCATACCTGAAATGCTACCACTCTGGGAGACTTAGGCAGGAGGACTGAAAGTTTGAGCCCGGCCTGGGCATTTAGTGAGACTCCATCGTAAAATAAAAAATAAAAAAGGGCTGAGGATAGAGCTTAGTGTGAAGGCCTCGGGCTCGATCCCCAGTACAGACGAAAAAGTCCTTTACTAAATTCCCAGGGTCTGAAGATGCTAGATGTGCTTTACAACAGTCTTTGATCATAGTCCCTCCTGGAGGACCTGTGCGTAACTGGATATGTACCTACCTTCCTTTAAAATTATAATGGTTCTAAATAGACACGACAGAAATGCAATTAGTACAGTAATGACAGAAATATAGTTCATCCACATTACTCATCCTGTTGGTTCCTTCTTTCTCACTCAGGGTTGGGTGCATTTAAGAAACCAACTGTTAAAACTAGGAGAAGCCCTAGGAGGGAGGCCCAGGGGATTGGGTTTGTCAGCACATGGACAGCAAAGGGCCTTAGAGTGGCTGCTGTTCCCTAGAGGAAGAACGGAACAGGAAAAGGACTGTGTCTTCCTTGCTGCTTTCCATGCTATGTTGAAAAAAATAAGTCTTGGACTTTTATTCCCTTATTTATCTTTCAAAAGAATCATATTTTTTAAATTCCTGGTTATTTATTTTGTTTTCCTCTTTGACATTGATTTCACTCTATTATTTTCCCTCATTTCTTTATTCTTTACTCTGAGACTTCTCTATCAAACTGAATGCTTTGCTTACTTGCATACAATAAATTTTCCTTGATGAGTGAACGTAGACTCATAAATTGTTCTATGAATGATATTTTAACCATATCCTGAAAACTCCAATAATACTTTCAGTTCTAAGATTTTTAAAGTTTCCCTTTTGATTTCTTCTTAGTAGGTTAATTAGTACTGCCAGCAAGATGTTGCAATTAAATCTTTCCTATCTCATAGTTCATTGAGGTTTTAAAGCTGAAAGTAACAAATGCCAATTGTGTTTAATAATTCTTCAGGCTCTTTTCATGTACTGATTCTTTTTTTCTTAATTTGGTTTTTGAGACAGGGTTTTGCTATGTAGCTGAGGTTGACTACATAGCCCCAGCAGGCCTCAAACAAGCAGTAATCTTCCTGCCTCAGCCTTCCAATCACAGGTACACTGTGATAACAGGTGAGTGCTACCACACCTACTGCTCATGTGTTGATTGGTAAATATTCCTGCTCGAAAAACTTCTACACCAAATAAAATTATTCAAAGCCTGCATATATCAATATGAATGCATTTTAAGAAATATAATACCAAATGAAATGCCAATCTCCTATATATATAGAGTGACTCAAGTGATGAAAAAGTCATACAGAGTAAATCATAAAACAATACTACATATTTTTATACCACTCTCTATTGTTTATGGTTTGAAAGAGTGACTTAATCCAAGTAGAGCGAAATAATAACATAAATCTGAGTGGTTGATATATGAGTGTCTCCTGCATAATTTTTGTACTTATTTAGATTAGAACATATTTAATATATATTTAATAATTATAAAATAGAAGTCTAACATTATTTTGTGTTTCAATGTCTCTTCTTCAATTTCTTTTCTTTTTTTTTTTATATTTTTGGTACGGGGGAGCGACTCAGGACCCCGCGCTTGCAAGGCAGGCTGCGGAACTACTGAGCTAAATCCCTGGCCCTCAATTTCTTTTTAAAAGTGAAACAATTTCTTTAAGATTAGTTCTCCAGGGCCAGGGATTTAGCTCAGTGGCACCGTGCCTGCCTTGCAAGCTCAAGGTCCTGAATTCAATCCCGGGTACCGCAAAAAAAAAAAAAAAAAAAAAAAAAGAGTAGTTCTCCATTATCATTTGAGCAAGTTCACAACTGCATACTTAAGGTACATATACAGTAGTACTTCCATAGTACTGAAATTTGCACTTTACAAATCTCAAAAGGATGCCGGGGATTTAGCTCAGTGGTTTTGCTGCCTGCTGTGCAAGCACAAGGACCGGAGTTCGATCCTCAGTTCAAAAAACAAACAAAAAAAAAACAATGTCGAAACGAAACAAAAACCAAAACGAGTCTTCCAGGGGCTCTGGGAATCTGGCGCTCCGGGAGTGCTGACTTTGCCTGTTCCCTTGGGGAAGACAGCACAGCACGCTGGCAGAGGATAAAGTCATCCTTCGAGCTGACTTCAGCTCCAAGCACACCTGCTATCCAGTCATCTAAATAAACACTTCACTCTCTGTTAAGAAATGATTAACTTTAAAAGCTGTTGAGGGCCGGGGATTTGGCTCAGTGGTTTCGCCGCCTGCTGCGCAAGCGCAAGCACTTGAGTTCCCTCCCGGGTACCGAAAAAAAAAAAAAAGCTGTTGAAAGAACTAAAGATAATTCATTAAGGTTCAAAGAAAGTCGGAATTGTTCCACCAAGAGTAGCTACATTAGGTATTTCCAGAACTCCAACTGTACCTATTTGTGGCAGAGATGACCTCTGGATGAAATAAAAAGATGCTCCTCCTAAGGAATTAAGGAAAGTTGTAGTAGTAGTAGTAGTAGTAATAATAATAATAACAACAGCAATAACCAACCCTAAGTTCAGGTAAGGCACTTAATTTAGTTTTTGCACATCTTTTTTTTGTTGTTTTTAAAGTGACTTAAAGCAATCTTTTCTTTGTGCAAGAGCCTTCAGGGAGTCAAGGCTGAGACAGAGCCTAGTGGGGTGACTTGTCTCTGTTCTCAAGAGTCTGAGGTTCAGCCAGAAGACTCAAAGGCTGAGGGAGGGGTTCAAGAGTCAAATATTTTAGTGTATTTTATCCAGAAAAACTGATAGCTACCAACTGAAGATCAATCAAAATTAGGAGGAATCCCTAAAAGAACAACACAGTGGACTCTCTGTATCCAGAGATCCATGGACTCAACCAAGTGAAGATCAAAGATATTCTTGAAAAATGTGTCTGTACTGAGTGTATGCAGATCTTTTTGTCAGTATTCCCTAAACAATGTAGTACAATAAATGTATATAGTATTTACATTGCATTAGGTAATGTAAGTGATCTGTGCAAATACTGAACCATTTGATATGAGGAATCTGAATATCCACAGATTTTGGTATTTGCAGTGGGCCCTGGAATCACAATTCCCACAGATACTGAGGGATGATCTCATAACCTAAATAAAAATAAGAGTTGATTTAGACCCTGGGTTTTAAGAACTTGGCTATTATATAAAATGTACATTTATTTGTGATTCTTGAGAAGAATATTTACCACCCTACAATCACTTTATATATCATGACATACATCAATATGTTTTATGCAGAAAAACCAGTGCATAGAAAACTTAATTGCAACAAAATTCCACTTTTTGAAAACTGCCTGTATACTAAATCACTCAGCTGGTCTGTGTAGGCTTAATTTCTATTTCTGCAGCTAATTAAAACTCTAATTTTCCAATAAGTCTGGCCACAGATAGATGACCACTTTTTTAGCCATTCATGGGTGGCTGACTCATCTGGTTTACAAGCTCAAATTCTGTATAAAAAGGAAATGGAAAAGCACTCTGAATTGCAAGCAATCAAAACACTACCAGAAACTAACACAGTTTAATTAAAAAAGAAAATCCATCATAATTCATTTCTTTCCGTTCCCCTCTTCACATAAAAAATTAAGAGGTAAGACAGAGAAGTAATTAAAATGAAGTCTCCTTTTGCCCTCAAAGAACCTTTGCCAACGAAATGATTAGCTTCAAATTTCTCATGTCTCTCCCTTTGTTGTAACAGATTGCTTCCGGTCTTCCTTTAGAAACAATGCACTATTTTGCTTATTCAGTTAACTCTGGGCTTCCAAGCATTTCAATAATCTTGCTACTCTGTCCAAAGGTAAGACTGTGTGTTATCAGACCATTGTCACTATTTCGTTGCAACCCTGGATAGGACTGGAAACTAGCCTAATTTCATGAACTGCAGTGAATATATGTAACTTCTGAGATAGGGTGATTGGCTGATATTAAAAAGGGGTGCAAAGGAGCACGTCTGTGACCACTGGCTGCACCCTAGAGCGTGCTCTCACAATGAGGGATGGCAGAGGAGGGATTCATGGCAAACAAGGTACCAATGATGTTCCAAATCTCCACCCTGCATCCTACTTTCCAACCACGATCACACCTAAGAAGAAAATACCTCCATTATTCTGACCTATGAGCCAATTCTATATTGGTTTATTCATAGAGATTGCAACCACACACAAGCAGAACTTATTTTGACCAAAAAGCTGCTCGGTAATATTACACAGAACACATATACAGAAGCTCAGGACTGGATACAAGGGAAATAGCAAGTCAAAATGGCCATACAATTGAAAACCTGTATCACTTCCAAAATTCTCATAATTATTCTCATGCATGTCTTCTTGACATAACAAGCAAGGACATCTGATAAATATGGAACTCTAGTAAAAAAAAAAAGAGTATTGCTGAAGTTCAAACTATTTATAGATTCATGTGCAAAGTCTCAAGGTAGCTCAGGGGACGATGAAGCTGCATCAGGAACCTGGGGCAGATAAAAGTGAGCAAGGAGAACAGAATGTCAAACCAGAGTGACACAAACATGAGACAACCTGAGGACCCTGAAGAGAGTCTTTCCTGTCAGTGAACAGCTCATGGTACAAATCCTCCCCCAGCAATCACAATGGCACAGAGGAAATAGCCAGAGACTCACTGTAGCACACGGGAATGGCTGAGATCTTTCCTATCTTCGTCATCATAGTGGGGAGTTATCATTCCCAGGCCACTATCACTCAGCATGCGTTTCCGCAGGGCAGGATTCCACCAGTCTGACAGCCTGAAAGAAGGAAGGCCGCAGACAGTTAAGTGTTCATAGCAGGCACATGATGAGTCCTGTTCTTCCTCAGCTTGAGCCTTTTCTCTAGATGTGAGAAGTGAAATTCATCTTCACTGGGGATTGACTTCACATTTACTATGTCATTAAATTTTCTCAAAGTCATGATCTAAGTGTATGATTTTTCCCTTTTCACAGATGGGGAAACTGAATGACATGAACAAGAAGCAATGAACTCAGGTACAGAAATGAAGATTAGAAAACAGTTTTTATGCTTCCCTGTTCTCAATTTATTTCCAATGGGAGCAAGTAATGAGGAAAAAGAAAGGGCCGGTTTCACATTCCAGTGGAGCTTGGAGCTACTTTACGTTTGGAGTGAGCTGGGCTATCATAGGTCTAACCAAGGACAAAGCCGTGTCTTTGTTTCATCATTTGGTGTGGAGAAAATGAGAGTGCAGAGCCCAAGGCCACCTTAACAGGATGGCTTCACTCTTCATCAGGACTAGGGTGAGAATCCAGTTTGGAACCCAGTGGACACCTGAATGCCAGCACCTGTCACTTCCGCAGCAGGATGCAGTGCTGCACCAGCCTCCCCACAGCTGAGGAGGTTGAGGCAAAGCCAAGGTCTGTTAAAGTGGACTGGGACTCCCGAAGTTCTTATGCCCGTCAGCCTTTCTCTCACACCACACAGTTCTGATGTCACTGGTTTCCCAGACACAGCTCTGTATGTCTCCCACGCTGCCTCTTCTGCCAGCTCTGACTTTCCCATCCACTCAGCACATAACCTAGATATAAGGCTGCCTGGCTGGAGTGGGAGATACTCAAAAATAGCAGCAATGGACAAACACTGAAAAGTGAATGACATGAAGGGGGCAAACAGGGATAAGGTTTAACTCAGGTGAACATGCCTGCTTATCCTGTGTGAGTCCACGATCCGCGCGTGCTGGGTGGGTGTCTGTGTGCCCTTTCTAGGGCAATTCTTACTTCACTATTCACCCCTCATATTTCAGGAAAGCCTTTGAAATTCATCAGACTTCACGAAGGCAGAGATTTTTGTCTGTTTTTATTTTTTATTTTATTTTATTATTATTTTTTTTTTTTTGGTACCGGGGATTGAACTCAGGACCTTGTGCTTGCAAGGCAGGCACCTGAACCACTAAGCTAAATCCCCGGCCCTTGTCTGTTTTTATTTTTGCACTGTTGTTTTTCCAATACACAAAAACTCTAAATACATTTTTGAATTTTCAAGCAATTCTGCAAGAATCTAGAAATACTAATAATATTTCAGTGGTACAGGATGGTGGGTAAATGCCTGGGCTCTGGCATCAGAAATATCATGTTTTTTCATTTATTTCTATGCAATATTAGGCAAGTCATGTAACATTTGAAGCCTCAATGTTCTTACCTGTGGATTTAAAATAATTGTAGAACAAAATTTCCAAGGTAACTGTGAAATGACTACGACAATGAATTTAATAACGTACTACTTAAGTGTCCACCAAGCACCAGAAACTATTTTAGGTGCTTCACCTATAACAAACAATTCATTGCCTCTTCAAACAATTCTCTGAGTATTATTATTATTGTATTTCTCAGGTGAAAAACCAAGCCCAGAACACTTAAAATAATTAAATCTATGAAGTGGCAAAAGGAATACAAGAGTGGCCTGTACATGGCTCTTAATAAGAGCTTGACATGGTGTAGTTGCTGCTGTACGCTCTGTCCGGCTCAGGCACTGTGCAATACTGAGGAGGAAGAGAAGGCGGGAGAGAGTAACTGTCAAACCGCCTGTGTCCATTCCGCATTTGGATAACAGATAAGACAATATGTATGCACAAAAGCAAATACTCATTTTGGGGGTTTGGTAGGAAATGTTGGTGTAGTGGGTAAAAGAAGGTCAAACATGATACCAGTCTGATTTGGAATGAGCTTTTCTATACATAGCCACTCACAGGCAACCTAACAACAGATCTAGCTGTACCTCAGTTGAAAGAGCCACAAGAAACACTTTGCTGCTATTAGAATGTCAAAGCCAAAGCCAAAGCAGATGCAGAGGTCACCTGTGGCCAGCCTGCTGCCAGTACCAACCAAAGAGAAGCACACTCACCCAGAGGCCTGCTCCACCACCAGGTCAGGCATGCCTGGAGGTGTCCCTGCCTGCTGCGACACCACCATATCTGGGTCGAGAATAAAAATCTCATCTTGGGAAATCTCCATCACAAAGTGCAAATGTTCCTGAGGAAGAAAAGTGAGTCTGTCAGATGACTGACAGGATGCTCAAATCCATCATCCAAAGGATAAATAAACAGAGCATTCTTGGTCTTGAAGTACAGTGAAATTCTGTGACATATCACAGGGTCACACTGTTTTCTTTGAAGCCTGAGCAGTTGATATCCCACCCTGAAGCAACACTGCAGAGCAAAGGGGAGAGTTGGATTTTCTTCAGGATTTCCACTTGATTGGAATTCTGTTAGGAGTAACTGGAAATGATCTCACCTCTTCCTCTTCCCAAACACTATCCAAAGAAGTGACTCCCAGCCAGGGATGATGGCATGTGCCTGTAATCCTAGCACGCTGGGAAGCTGAGACAGGAGGATCACAAGTTTGAGCCCAGCCTGGGCAGCTTAGTGACTTCAGAAGACTCTGCTTTAAAAACTAAAAATGGTTGGGAATGTAGTTCAGTGTGAAGGTCCTGGGTTAAAATACCAAGTACCACAGGACAAAGGAAGGAGGAGGAGAAGGAAGAGGAGCAACAGGAGAAGGAGAGGAGAAGGAGACAACTCACCTGCCTCTAGGTCCAGTGTGAGTGTATGGCAGCTTGGACTTGAGCACTCTAAGTAGATGCTCAAAGCTGAGTGGCTTGGTGGATGATTGATTTTTTTCGTTGGGTTTAATACTGTATTTTACCACTTTTCCCAGAAGAATTTCCAAGTGGGAAAACTTGTTAACCTTGAGCAAAAGCATTTTGTTTCTCATTACTGAAGTCTAGGGTTGATGAACTGAAACTAAAAAACCTACATAAATACCTAGGGGGTCTCAAACTAGCTATCCAGAAATGAGCTTAAAAGATGGAAAATTTGGTGTGGCAGAAGTAAAAGTACACACGTGTATGAAATATGAAGTGCTGGCTAGTGGTTGTGTTTACAAGTCAAGGTATTACCTGTAATCATTTGCAAAGTCAAGCCCTGCCATTAAGTCCACAGACCATAAAGCACAGGAAGATACAAAGGTTCATGGCTTGGATTATGAATGCCGTTCCAAAATGTGTTAAGTGTTTTTGTGAGAAAAATGTATGAAATTAGCTATTAAATACAGTAATTTGACCTAGGAATTTTTCACTTTCCTAAGCAGGCTGAAGAAAACTTACCTGAGATCTGTCTATTCGATAAAAGCGATCTGCAGAAGTTGCTAGGGGAAAAAAAAATGCACGTGGTGTTTAGAGTCCTCTGTGATCTGTCACAAGTTTACAGCCCCCCCTTCCACTATGCCAATAAAACCCACATATTCTGGTCATACAAGACAACCAGCTAGTTCCTGAATCTACTGAGAGAAACTTGGTACTTCCGTGCAGCTATCCTAATGTGTAGGAAGGCCACCACATCTGTTGACTGGATTTTACTAGGCTTTTAAGAACCAATTCAAATGCTTCCACCTCTGTGCTAATCCCCTCCCCCAGAACGTATTCCTCCTACTTCCATGCAAATTTATATTTTGTTTAAACTTCTTTCAGAGACTGTCTTCACAGAAAACGAGACAGAGCTCTGACTCATTAGAGAAGAGTCATTAAAGGACTGACTCTTTAAAAGACTGATTCTTTTTTTTTTTTTTTTTTACATCACCAGGAATTTTTAAGACCTAAACAGAATTGGCACTCAATATTTTATTAAGTTAAGAAAGGTATGGAAAAAACCTGTAGTTAAACCGACTTCCAGGGAAATGACTTTCATTTTGCAAAACAGCTCGAAGCTATAGGCCAGGGGCCAAATCTGGACTTAAAGGATCATTTCACTTTCATACTGCATCCCTAGATGCATGTCTGAGGGAATCCAAAATATAAAAGAAAAAAAATATTATATAAGCATTCCCTAAAAGAGATTAGAGTTGCATCTGTGGTTTGAAAATAAATTCTGAAGTACAAATTTTAGGTGTCCAGAAATTGTTATTATTTATAATATAAAAAAGAATTATGTTGCTCACAACTTAAATCGCACAGAGCCCAAATATAACAGGTAGAATTTTTATCAAAAAATAGCACAAGAGAGAAAAACTCAAAATGCAAATTATCCTTTAAAAATCATAAATGCTTAAAGAGTGGCTTTTCTCCAAAGAAAACCCAGCCAAGAAACAACATAGTGAGAGTCCTTGCTTCTTAAAACGTATGACTAAAGTAAAATCTGTCCCAGAAGGACTTTGTACTTTGTTCTTTTCAACCATGACTTTAGCCAAGATTTTATGGATTAACCATTAAAAGGTATTTAGTGAAGCCTTCCATAGAGTTATGGTTTATATCCAGATGTTCTATGAGAACGTTATGCTCTCATAGGTGATGCCTTTGGAAGGTGATTGTTTTCTGAAGGCATAATAGCTGAAGTTAAGAGGTGGAGGCTGGTAGGAAGAGGAGGGTCTGGAGGCATGGCTTGGAAGGGTTATTGTCCTCTTAGGCGCCTGCCTTCAAGCCCTCTGCTTTCTGTCTATCAGTCCCCTCTGCCATGCCATTGTGCCTTGGAGCATGCTGACCATCCAAGGACTGAAACTTCTAAAATGTTGAGTTGAAATAAACTGTTTCTCTTTCTACTTGTGGGTGTCAGGGACTGTGTCTCCCAATGAGAAAGTGACTAAAACATAAGGAAGGCCATTATCCATAGTAGTAGTTTTATCCAAGACCACATATAGAGGATAATAACATATAAATATTTTCATAATTTTCTTAAATAGATGATTTTCCTTTGTGCACTCAAGAATAAGAAATCATTGTGATCCTCTTTGCTGTGCAGGAAGGAAATCTTCAAAGCAGTTGCTGAGCCAATAATGAAAACTTGTATTCTGATATTTGTGGGATACAAAAATCTTTTATCATGGATATACAAGTGCTCATCTTTATAACCATCTGCAACTCACATGAGCTATGATACTTATGCCCACACATATCTCCTCTCAGATATACATACACATAAACAAAACAGCTCTACAATGAAAACCATGTTTGCACACAGACAACATAGAGATCGGGTGGAGTCGATACACTAGGTGGTATGTGAGCAAGAATGCATAGAGATGAGAATGTGCTATGGTATGGATACAGTAATTAGATAGAAAATCAGGAGTAGGCAGCATCCAGGAGTGTGAAGAGATGCTTGAGATGGCAAATGGACTCATTAAGCAATCATAAAATAACTAACTCATTATGTATGCAATACTTTATGTTCTGTAGAGCAGATTTGAATGCAACTGAAATTTTTTATCCTTTTTACAAAAATGTATACATTATACTGAAATGACAGTCTCACAAAAATAAAGTTCCATGACATGCAAATAACACAGGAATTAGTACCCATTTGTGCTTATAGACTTTCTCTACTTGCACTTGACAGATTGAGAAAAAGGAGAATGATGAAAGGAAAACATCAGTGTGAGCAGTTTGAATTGAGTTCAGGCAGAGTTAACCAACGTGCTTTGAGGGAAAGGACTTCAAGAACGGTAACTGCAACATCAGCAAGTCTACATGCCTTGAGATGCAAATTCTGATCAGGTGTTGTTACAGGAAGGCTTTGGGAATAGTAGACACACTCTACTGATCCATCCCATACCCCGATACTTCCCAGCCTTCCTCTTGGAAATACAGAAACACTCACCATCTAGGAAGCACCATCGGGGAGACAGCCTCTGAGCTGAGAGAGCCCTGGGGAAGGAGGTTTCATGGTCCTGGAAAGAGACAGGCACATGTTCTTGAGTCTCCATGTGAATGGCCCATGGGGTTTCCCTCCCTCCTGTCTTCCACACCGACTTCTAAGAGTAAGCATCTTTGCCTGAACAAAGAACTGGTGAAAAGACCACAGCACAATGCTCCTTCTCTTATTTGACCACAAGGCCACTTGATATAAGCAACATCATTCTTTGTGGTAGGCTTAGGCAAAAATAATTCTGTCCTCTCCAAAGCTAATCATATTATTTAGTCCAGAGATGAGCCTCCTTCTTTCTAACTTTATTTCTGTAGTGTTACTGAAAGCTATTCCTCAACTTTTAAACTCTCTTTGACTGCTTCCATCTCTCTAAAAGATAAATTACCTTTGACTTATCCTATTACATCTCCAGATAATTTCCTTAATCTCTCCTTCATTGTTCAGCCAAAGTCTTGGAGCATGCACTCATCTCCAGCTTCTAGGTACCCACTTCACAGCCTCTACTTCTAGAAAACTGGCTTCTACAAATCTTTCAAGAGATCACCAGAACAAGCTTCTTTCCCTGACTTCATCTTACTCTCACTCCCCAAATTTACATGGTGTCTTTGAAGTTTTTACTTCTTATAAGAATGAAGGCTATACAGGCATAAGAACAGATAAGGAACTAGCAGGCTGAAAATTTAAGGATTATATCCCTGTGGTTTCGAGGTTTCAAAAGCTGAAAACTTCTACTAAGTGAGCTCACCAATAATAACTGGTGGAGGAAAGTGCTTCTGAGTTTATGACACATGATCTGGAGGGTTTCAGACCTGCTCATAGTAAAACTAAAATAACCATAACCAACAGAAATAGTCTAAGAGAGGGTGTCCAGGTCTCTGGAGGAGGGTACTGGGAGCCTGAACCTTATCCAAGACTTCAGACATTGAGATATAAGGAAAATCCTGGAGAGCAGCTATGCTGCCAGCAAGATGGATGCAGGAGCAGCTGATCCTCAAGCCTATGCTCATCTCAGTAGTTCTCCAAGGGTGCATCCTGAACAGCAGCATCAACTAGGAACTTGTTGGAAATACAAGTTCCCAGGCTCAGCCTTAGGTCTACAGAAACCCTGGGATGGAGCCCACAAATCTGGTTTAACAAGCATTTCAGATGAATCTGATGGCTAAAAAACCATGGGCTTAAAATTATAAAGACAAAAGGAATATATCTTATTAGGAATATTGGGTATGACAAGTTTTTAATATAAATGGGTTCTGCGCATTAAACAACTGAGAGGAAAAACTGGCCTCACTCAGGCCTGACACCAAAATTTGTATTTATGGATATGTAATTGAGATAGCTAAGGATACAGAAGTAGATGTTCTTCTCTTTTGGCTGTGTCAAACTGCTGGTAGAGCTAATAAAATCTTGACATGTGCCTAATGTTTATGAGAATTCTGTTTAACATTTTGAGAATTCTGTTTTGACACATGTGATATCTTGTTTTAAGAGAATTTAAGGTTCTTAATGCAGTTTTATAAAATGTGTGAAGCTACTAACATCTCTGAGTTTGGTGAGAAATGTAATTATGGACCAGTAAATATGAAATTGATCTGAAATGTTTAGTGGCAAATGTTAAAGCTAAATAAAGATATTAAATAAATTTGTAAATAAAGATATTAAACAGTAACATAATTGTCTTTTCAAACAGTAAAGATGCTTAAATACCAAGGACACTTTCTGAATTTTGATGTGGAAAATCAGAAACACCATGAAGTCATACCCTAATTTCTCTAAGTAAAAATTAACTGAAATTATACACAAACATTTGATTTATCACTTTCAAAATGTAAGACTATATAATGTTATCACTAGGATATTCAAGTTAAATAAAATTGGATATTATTTAATCTAATTTAATAAAAAGTAGATTGATATACTGCCTCATCTACATGACTAGTATAATTCTGTATCTTTTTAGGTGCAGGTTCTGAATGACTGCTGAGTTTTATGCATGTGCCTGACTTCATTTATTTTGCTTATTTTGTTCACTTAATTATTCTATTTAATTCCAGATAAAAATTTTCTTTATCCATTCATGTTTCCTTTGGGTATTACTGCACTGAACATGAGTAATTTTAAGGTGGTCATGGATGTAGTCTATGGTTTAGAAAGACATTTTTCTTCTTTTTTTTTGGTACCGGGGATCGAACTTGGGTCCTTGCGCTTGTGTAGCAGGCAGTGAAACCACTGACCTAAATCCCCGGTCCGAGATTTTTCTTTAAGTGTCCTCTAAAAGTTTTTTCTTTAAGCATGGTTTCTTGACATTCATCTGTTTAGCAGAAAAGGATGGCCCGTGTCTGCATCCCACTATCGTACTATTCAACAGTTGCTCGTCAATTAGTGTTTTAAAATTAAGAATTAAGATCTTTTCTCCATTTACACTGGTTAGGAAGCAGAGAGTTTTAAGAAATCCTCAAAATGAAGATCAACTGAAAATAGGGGAATGGGGAAAAAAATAACCAAGATATATTGTGTACAGGTACAAATTCCCAATGATAAATGTGATCATATGGTATATCTAAAATGTACCAATAAACTTAATAAATAAAAAGATAATGTATTAAATATAGCAAGTAACATTCCAAGAAATCTAGGGCTATTAGAATCAAAGAATTACTCAAAGTTCCAATAGTATTTATATGCTGATACACAAAGTATTTGATACAATACAGCTCCATGTCCTTCAAGAGATTTTGTCTGAAGAGAATGGTATCACTTTACTTGAAGAAAACACATTGGTTGCCATACAGATCTTCCAAATACTTTCATGGGTCTTTGAATAGGTTTAACAGTCCTTGAATCCTGAAATTTTATGCTAAATAGTTGTCTATATGTACATGCATTTTCCAGGAACCCTGCTTTCTGTAGATTATTCAAGTGATCTGAAAGTCACAATAAAAGGTTAAAAAGCTACTAATTTAAATAATCCAAAGTTTAGGTCAAAAGAAATTCAACAAAATAAGAAAATTAAGATCAGTAAAATGCCTTAACAATATCTGAGGACTCACAAGAATAGGAATCACTGTTTCAAAGCAGCTGGTGATTGCAATACCAGATAGAAGCTTTTGGGCTTGTGCCATTCTTTTGGAAATGGGGCAAGTGAGTCAATTTCTGCATTATAAGGACTTAATAAACTTTTTGTTTATTTCCATCTAGATCCCTCCCAAACAATTGTTTTCAGAACCTTATGTTCCACTTATGTTCATTTTCTTTAACAGACAAAAGAAGGTATTCTTGTTGATCACTAGATGTTCTTACTACTTGAAATTATACAGCATTTCATTAATTAAAAGTGCCAAAATATAATTTAAAAAGTCAATTTTACTGAAAATAAAACTGGATTCCTTTCTGGTCAACTGAAGATTAAACTTTAATTTTGGAGGTTGTTAGAGAAGCACAAGTAGAGATTTAACTTCTCTGAAATACTACCCTGAAATAGGTTTGTGTCCTTTCCCCCTTTCTTGAAGCTCTTTCTATCCTGTTTGTTCAGAAAACATGAGCTCCTAGGAGGACAGATATTAACATAATGAGGTCTTATGTTAAAATTTATTTGAATTCCAAAGAAAAATGTAATATCTGGGTAGATTCATAATGCAATTAAATTGCTTATTTAAAAATTTTACATATGTAAAAGGTTACATAAAGCCATTGAAGTCTCAATAAAATTTTGTCCTTGGATCTAATTTATACTCACATATGCAGATGAAAATACCTCACCTGTGTTGGGACAACAAAAAGTTGGAGATTTTCATGAAATCAGTGTGAAAATGATGTTCCAGCGTAGTAAATTGACAAAATGTAAAACATACCCACAAAATACACTAATCAATCTATATGACAAAATGAAACAATAAGGAAATCCAGCGACTCTACACATCTGTGTGCCAGGTCTAAATGACCGGAAGGAGAAGAGGAAAGGAGGAGCAAGAAGCAAGAGGTGGAGCATCTGGTGGTGGCTGAAGTGGTTGTTGTTATGATTATTGGATTTCATTTGAGTTGAAAAAACTGAGAAAAACTTAGAGTGAAGAAGTCTGCTTTGGAAAACTAAAATTTTTGTAGGATGGGATCAACATCATCATACAGAATTAGGGTGACAAAAAATATTTCCATTTTGGGGGTGTTGAAATATCCTAAGGAAGACAGACTCATCAATAAGGGAGAGATTTTATATGATCCAGCCTCAATTAAGGAGCAAGGCCAGAAGCAATGAAATATAATCTCTAAGAGAACCAGCTTGGATGGTCATGACAATCTTATCCCATTTCACCAGCAGTAGCTGTGAGGATTCAGGGAAGTTTCTTGTCTAATCTCACACTCTGAAAGCTTCATTTGTAAAATGCCTGTAACACTATCTACTGTGAAGGGTTCTTTTGAGAGATAAATAAAATGGCATCTAAAATGCTTAATTTATCGGCTTTTACTTGCAAATATAGATATTCTAGACAAGTAATGATGGGGTAGCTGAAATGAAATTATGTTACCTAAAACAATCTGACTCTTAGTCACATGAGCAGCTCATGGGACACAGGCCACATTCCAGACCAGATCCTAGTTTAGATGGTGCACCCGGCACAGCAGTTTTATCCACAACCACACTGGACTCAGATTCTGGGTTTCAGAGAAAAGAAAAAAAAAAAAAAAAAAAAAGGCCAAATTTGTATGAGTGGACACAAAAAAAGAATGACATTAAACAAAGGCTGAAATCATGACATTTTTCAGTTTGGTGCTTCTAGGGCTTGTCTTAATCAGCAACCCAATGGTTCTTTTCACAATATTAGAAGATATATAATTGTCATCAATTCAGAGTATTGTCTTCAAGGCTGAATATCTTCTAACATCAACAGTAGTATTTTTCAGAACAGTTTCTTTTCCTGCTCTCTCTAGTCCCCATTCAATAGTAATTGTGCTTACTTGGTATTTTCTTAGTTTCACCAAAATTAACTTTTTCACATGCTGATCTACCTGTTCAGTTATAAATTCTAC